AAAAAAAAAAAAAAAAAAAGAAAATGTTCCTTAAACCTACCACACTCTCAGTTTACTAAGGTGATTCCTCTCTATTATTCAAGTTTACCCTGGAATAAACTGTCATTTTTTTTTTAACCTTGGAAATGGGCCTATATGCAGGTCAACAGATGAATGGATAAAGAAAATGTGGCATTTATACACAGTGGAGTAAACACCATAAAGATAAACTGGAGAAAACTGCTCTGAACTTGGCCTTCTCCATGGCCTCAAAGGGGTAGAGTGGCCCAATGGTGGCTACACCCACCTGTCCTCTTATGGACAGACAACTGGGAACAGAATTCCCCAAACCGCCTCACCCTGTAGGCTCCAAATCTGTCTATGTAACTTCGTCATTTTCACAACGTATGCAAAACCTGCTTCTATAACTTTCACTTCCCTGACTCTTTCTGACATTGGATGTCTGTTTCTGTGTTGAGATTAGATTTGAGAAGAATCACTGCCGGCTTCCTGGGCATGGCGGTCGCCGTCCTGCTGTGCGGCTGCATCGTGGCCACTGTCAGCTTCTTCTGGGAGGAGAGCCTGACCCAGCACGTGGCCGGCCTCCTGTTCCTCATGACAGGTATGCTGCAACTCGGGCTGCCAGCGGGGGCAAATGCGGCTCAGGCCCCATCGTGCTCAGTCCTCCTTTATTTTGTTTTCACTGGTGGGAAGAACCAGAAGGTCGGAAATAGCTTTGGTGGGAAATACGGGGTTTAAACCAGGTGTTCCACATGCAGCTCCGGTTTTCCCACAGTGGCGTGTTAGTAGCTCAGATTCTTTCCTTCCGTGCCTCAGACCCTGAGCTGGACTCTTGGCAAAGGACTCTTGCTTGTCAGGAGCCCATGAGGAGAGAGATGATGGAAAACACACCCATTTCCGGTCTGAAAGTCCATTCAAAGTACGGGCCTCGGTCATGGTGGCACTAGTGTCATTGTTACATACACAACTGTCATCCATTTCCCTCTACAGATACTTTTTGAGGATTACTGTGTGTCGGACAATGCTGTAGGGGTTACAGACATGTCCTGAGTAAAGCAGCAGCAAAATCCTCATACATGTTATTGTGGGCAGAGATAAGCAATGCTTTTTTTTTTTTTTTTTTTTTTTTTTTTTTTTTTTTTTTTTTTTTTTTTTGGTTTTTTTTGGTTTTTCCCGGTACCGGGAACCGAACTCACAACCTTGCGCATGCCAGGCAGGCGCTTTTGCCGCTGAGCTAAATCCCCAGCCCCATAAGCAATGCTTTGTGATAGTGATAAAAGCTCAGAAGAAAATAGCAGGGTGAAGTAAAGGCTCAGGGAGGGCTTGCTGACGTGATGACTTCTGGGCCAGGTCCTGAGAAGCAGCGGATGTTGGGAGCTTGGTGCCAGCCAAGGGAGACCCTAGCATCAAACCCTGGGAAAGGGCGTTGGTGTGAGTCACGGAAAGATGACCGGTATGGCTGGAGGGGAGGGAAGGAAAGCAGAAGAGCACAGAGGTGGGAGCCATGGGCAATGGCCAAGTCTTTAGGGCTTTCTCATCCTGGTGAGGGGCTTGGATTTGAAACTAATGGTGATAAAAACCATTAGAAGATTAAGTAGAGGCATGACAGTTTAAAGCAGGAAATTGGGAATAGCTATGTGGAGACATGGCTAGGAGTGCTTCGCTTAACAAGTGAAGGATACTTTTGTTTAAAAAAGGAGCTGAGAAATGAGCTGATGGCTAATGCTGGCGGAAGATGACTGCAGGGAAGAAAAATTTCCCTTCACAAAAAATGAATGTGTTCATGAGTGAGTGCCAAATTAAGTTTTGCGAAGTCTACTCAGCCTCAGAACTAATACTACCCTAGGCAGCCATTTTTAATATGCTGTTTCCACTTCCCCGGAGTTCTGTTATGCGAGTGACCACTTCAGACTCTAATGGGCACTTAAGCCTGGGTTCACACAAGCAGCCACACTTCAGCAGGGTGCGTGCCATTTTCTGTTTGTCTCTCAGAGCTGACGGCTAGGTGGCGCTTTGCTTTCTGGTGTGCTCATCCTGTGGTTTGAAGTGACAGAGGCGGGGGACCCTTGCTTTCCACTCCCACCTCCGCTCTGTGAAGCAATCTTGCATCAAAAACCTCCAGAGAGAACGCCCAGGAGCTTCTCATAGACTTACAGTTCTGAGCAGAAAACCAGTTGGTGTTTATAGATTTGGGTGAATGTACACTGCTTGCCAGGGCTGTAGCACAGGGAGGCTAAAATTAGGTCCTGAAGTTTCGGGGGAGTTGGAACCCTCAAGTCCAGCCAGTGGGTCTGCTTGTAGGATGTATTTACAATCCGGATAGCAGAGTGTGCGGTGATTATAACAGAGAAAAAGAGACTGAACTGCCAGGAGGATTCCTTTAATCCTTTGCTATTTTTAACTGTTGTTAAAAATATTCCCCATATCCTTATTTATTAGTTGCACCCCATTTCCTTGATTTTTATGCCCATATACATCAAAGAAGGGCAGATTTGCTTCCCCTACCCCTGGAAAGGTTCCATGTCACAATCCCTCACTTTGTGTGAGGATTTCTAGACTTGACAAAAGGATCAATAGGATTATTTTTTAAAGGACACTTTTAATATAAGTAGTGCGTGAATAATGTAGGATGCTCTCAGCATATAAAACAATGGTTAGCATTAAAATAAATTCTAAGACCTCGAGAGCCAGGCCTCGTGATTGCTCCCTGGGTGGCCCAGGGGCTGGTCTAGTTCTAAAGTAAAGGAAGGTGGAAAGTTAGCATTAGCTGAGCTCGGTGGAGAGCCAGGAGTTTCCTGGGCGCCATATTCTTCTGTCCATGGCTGTAGGATTGAGTGTTTTGTTTTTGTTCTTACAAAGGATTGAAATAATTGAAATTTCCTTTGGAAACACCGAGATAACTGTGTTAATCTACTGCACAAGAGAAATTAGCTGCAGAATCTTCATATGCGGTAGCAGGAAAGAACAAGTAAGGGTTAAAAGAATTGATTTTAATTAAGCTGAGTGTCTCGAGCAGCTCTAGACAGCAGCCCTCCCACGGATTTTTGATGCTAAACTTAGCCCCTTTCTAATGTGCTGGCATCTTCATTCTCTGCCAGAACTTATTAGTCAAACCTTCAATGGAAAACATCAATGACGTGACAGTTGGAGCTGTTAAGATGGAAACGATGGAACAATCTTTCTCCTTCTGCCTTACTGCATGCAGACAGGTCTTGATTACCCACATGTGGAGTGGCACTGCTGCGGACTGTCAGTTCACATATGGGAGCCAGGTTGTATCCCCCTTCTCTGGGTCTTGCAAGAGTTCCTTAAATAGGACCAGAATAGCCCCGAGGGCCCCACGATCAGACTTTTGATGTCACATCCTCTGAAGTTTCACACACAGGCATGCAGGAGAGGGAATAAGATTCTCTTCTTCCAGCTCACGCTTCTGTCCAGTAATGTGGGACACTCCAGTCATGGAGTCGCCCTGTGAGTGTTTCCATCTGCAAATGATACAGTTCCATTAGACTGCTGTAGTAACACAATTGTAGTTGTCATGATTTAAATTCTAAATATTTTAAAGGGCTTTTAGTCAATGATAACACTTTTGAGTATAATTTTTATATCCCTTGGAGGGTATTAATTATTTTTTAACACACAAGGAGTTCCAAAAACTAGATAAAGCATGGACTTCCTTTGGTGGTGGGGGGTCTCATTACCCACTAGTTCTGTCCTTCTCAGCTGTCCTCTGAACGGCCATTGCCACTCTGGAAGAGCACATGGCAGGAGCATTTCCTCCTGAGAGCAGGAAAGGGGACAGAGCCCACGCAGCCCCGTCAAAGCATCAGGGGCAGTGAGCACCCACCCCGGATGATCTGTTCCTATGCTTCAGTGCATCCAAAACAAAGCAAAATAAAACAAAAACCCCCCAAAACTCTGCTGCAGTAGGTGTGTTGAATTATCTATCAATTATGAACTAAAACTACAGGTCTGTAGTGCTTTGCCTGAAACCCTCGGGGCTGGATACGTACTGGAATTCAAGATTTTTAAAATTCTATTTTAGAAAGGCGATATGGTACGTTAGCCTATGTTATCACTCTCAGCAAGGTCTGGAGCAGCATCTTGAAATCCAATACATTAACATTTCTGCAGCAAAACACATGAATATTCATACCACACAAGATCAATAAAGACTATAATAGCCTTATGTTAAAACAGGTCAGGTTTTGCCACTCAGTACTCAAGTACTGCAATCTTTCAGGAAAAGACGGACTTTTTTAAACTTAAGAATTGCAGTCTATACATCTGTTTTTGTGTTTATTATGTAGTTTTAAAATTTTTCGCTGTTTCTAGTCATTTAGTTAGGCACTGTGGGCATGGCTTTTTGAGTAACTTTTGCGGAAAATAACATGAGGCATTTTTGCTGCAAAAGCAAAGAGGCCAGAATGACGGACAGGCCATCTTTTGAAGGAGTAGGGGGGGAAAAAATCAATGTGTATGCCTTTGGGTCTTGTAGTTAGGTTATTTATCGAGCAGTCTTACCAGGGTGAAGCAACTTCTACTCCTTTAAGCCTTTTAAGCACATCAAAGGAGGGACATGGAAAGAATAGGCCCAATTCCCCTAATTATATCTTACCAGCTGGCCGCAGGCACCGCAAAGATTTCAGGGTAGGAAATTAGGTTGATGATCTAGGAGGGTGGCATAAATTTACTGCTGTCTTGATCTGAAAATATCCCTTCCAGCCCTGCAGTTCTGCGATATCATGGTATCTTCTAATTAAGAATATTGGCAGAAAACCTTTTAATATTTTATAAGAGTAGCTACAAACAGGGATTGTCAAGGAACCAGTAATTACTCACTCTTTTTAAGAGGCTACCATCAATAGCCAGGAGTGAGCTCAGGACTCAGAGACCTCTCCCCTGGGGCCAGCAGCTAGGCTGAAGAGTATCAGCTGCTTCGGGAAAATGGGCAAAGGCAGGGAAAGACAGAGAGAAGAATGTGGAGAGGTGGCCTTCGCCCTATGGTCTTCAAGACGGACCCTTGGAGTTTGAACTTTCCGAATGCTGGAGTACTTTGTCTTTTTGCTGCTAGTGAAAATGCAGTATTATCTGAAATAACTTGGCACATAGGTAAACCCTACATGGGGCAATTTGGGATGAACTGGGTCTTAAATTGGTAGAGACTCTATGCATGTGGAGATGAAGTAACATGTTATTGAATAATCAATGAGTCACAGAAGAAGCAAGGAAGAAATAAAAAAGTTCCTTGAATGAAATGACAGTGGAAGCCTAGCACGCCAAGGCCTATGAGACGCAATGAAAACATTTCCAAGGGGAGATGTTACAGCTGTAAATGCACGCATAAGAACAATAGAGCAATCTCAAGTAAATAACCTCGAAAGGTCCTAGAAATAACTCCTTTGACAGCATGACCCCATTGACCTAACCAACTTCCATCAGACCTCACCTTCCATCTGCTAGACATTCCACCACCTCCCAGCATCCCCACAGGCTGCCACTGGGCCTTTAAGACTTGGGATTTGGGGGACAGTTAAGGTCCAAACCATAGTGTAAGGTAAGGTGGACTCAAGAGCGAAAGTAGAATCGAAAGCATACCAAGAAATTCTACACTTGTGCTCCTCACAGACCACACATTTAGCCTGAGGGAGCTTCAGCTCTCTGGTAACTTGGACAGAGAAAGAAATTCTGTTAGTGACGTCATGCACAGTGTCCCTGAGGTCAGCATACATCAAGTGCCCAGGGAAAGCACAAGCACGCCCGACATTGGTGGCAAAGAGAAATCTTCACCTTGGTTAAGTCCTAAGATCAGGCGATTTCTTATAATCTTTTTTTATTCAGTATGCGATGGCAACATTCATTTCACAAAAAGCAATTTTATGGAATCTTAAGCAATTTTATGGGAGAGTAATTATTTTTAAAATCAAAGGGAATATATTCAGAAAGAAAAATACATAGAATATGCCATTTTTATTTAGTTACATAATATCGAGTACTAGATTCACTAAGAAATTTTAGGAAATATACTTGTTCCATGTCTCATTTTGGTTAACAGAATCATAATAATTTGACACTGTCAGAGACTTTGGTGACCAAGTCCTCACTTTGTTTTTCTAGACGAAGACATTAAAGCTTAGAAAGGCTATGTAATTTCAAGGTCACATAACGATTAGTCGTAAAGTCTAGGACTAGGATACATATTTCTTATATTCCAACTCAGCACATTTAGACATCAAAGGATGCTTAAAAGTCGGAGTTTGAACTCAGGCTTTCAGAGGTTATTTAACTGATGCTACTTGTAAAAATGCTTGCTTTGGGGCACTCAGCTGTGTGCAGACAGCTAAAGGCATGATGGAGTTGTTTTTCCTATGAGTAGATCATCATTTGATTATTATATTTTACCTGTTGATATCCCAGAGATCAGCTTTTTTTTTTTTTCTTAGCAGCCTTGTGAAACCGCATTAGTTTAAAGAGCCTTGTTATACATAAACATTTGTCTTTCTTCTGGTAACAGTGAAAACATTCACGTGACTGTAAGAACATTTACTCTTCACGAGGTGTGGAAAAAGCAGAGGAATTTTTTTTTTTAATGGCCCTTTCCTTTGTCAAAGGATTATTTCCATCTTGGTCTTTCTTTTGGAGAATTCAAAGTGGTACAGTGGTACCTTGATACATAAACTCAATTTTCTCCATGATTCAGGACCATAAAGTTGACCTAACCACTGAATTTAATTTCATTCTAGTCCAACCCAGTTTGTGACCAGAATCATGGAAAGAATCAAATTTGTGACCCAAGGCACCACTGTATGTCTATTTTAAGAAAAATGGAGCAAGAAGTCAGAAGATGAGATTTTACCGTTTTTAGAAAAATTAAAATTACTTTAGTTTCAAAATAGATTAGTCAAAAAAGTAGCAAATACCAAATTATCTCAGATCAAGCATCCTTTAATTTAGAATATTTATTTTCTAAACCAACATTTGGAAAAAGATTCAGGCAGTATGGCCTTACATGATTTAAATGAAAGTAGATGTACAGTCCTTTAAAAATGGCATTACGGTGATCATTATTTCCTTCACATTGCTACTTACTCTGAATTGTATTTCTGCGAGTGTTTTTAATCTCTAAAGCTATAAATTAAAAGAGGGATGGAGAAGGAGACCTGGTCCTTTTAACTCTGCCTTTTCAGTTTCTGAAATTTGTGTTTATTTCTAAAAGAGATGCTGCACGCATCCCTATGGATACCAAGGCAAATTTTCAGCAAATAGATGCTACCTCGATCACACACAGGGATGAACTGGAGTATGACAGAGATATGTAGGACTCAGAACAGAGCTGGACATTCTGATACTTGATTGGGGGTCAGTTTCTGGTTTTATCCCTCCCTTTCAACTCAGCAGCTGCCTTATTCTGAGCCCATGCCTACCCGCAAAGAACATCCATGCGGCCCCACTGTAGGAGAGTAGAAGCATCTCCATCCTTAGAGGATCACTTGAGCGCTAAAAATGTGTGAGCATTATGGTTTGAGCATTTAAAGCATTTTTGTCAGAGTCCTGATCTTAGAGTTCTTGAAAGCCAGTTCTACATACATGTGTGACAGGAAAAGTAAAAGTTTGGGTATGCCTATTTGCCTTTCGTTCCTCAAAATGCCTCCAATTTGAATGGTTGATATACAGCATTTCCTTACCAGCTATTTTACATCAATTCCAAATTTCTAGACTTAATTTAGATTATTTCAAAGCATTCACTTATTCATTAAAAATTTTTTTGTTGATTTGCTTAGCATTCATGAGGCCCTAGGTTCATCCCCAGTACTGAAAAAAAAAAAACATTTTTAATTATGAATGTGAGTGAACATTGTGTACTAAAAACATGTACTAATGAAAAACAAAAAATATACTTTTGTTGAGACCCTAGTATGTGTTGGATTCTGGACCTTAATTTTTCTCCGGTACCGGGAACTGAACTCACGACCTTGCGCTTGCCAGGCAGGCGCTTTTGCCACTGAGCTAAATCCCCAGCAATTCTGGACTTTAAAAAAAAGCTGCGTCTAAGAATTCATTTAAATTAGTTGTTCAGATTAATATGTAATATAACAACCATTGGTGAATTCCTACCATCTTGTGTAGTGAAGCTCTGTATTGTTTCTAATGGTTTTTTTTGTTTTTATTTTTTATTCTCTTTAATGCTTTGATCAATCTTGCATTCTTATATCTGGTAATCTGAGTAACTTCATGAAGATAACAATATGTAATATAACAAACACTGGTAATTCGTATCATTTTATTCTGAAACCCTGTATCAATTTCATTGTGTTTGCTTTGTTTTTGTCTACATTGTTGGTATTTTGCTATTGTTCTTTTTTATTATTATTCTCTTTAAAAATTTTTAGAAAAAGGACTCATTTAAAGTATTATTTTTAAGCAACATGATAAATACTTATGTTCATTGGAAAAAAAAAAAAAAAAACCAGACTTACCTAGCCATTGCAACTATGTAAAACTTTGCCAACTCATGTATAGGGCAAAAAGGAATGACAATTATTTTATATTAGGTTTGAAAAATTATAGATTTTTTTTTCCTTAAAAATAAAATTTTTAGGCAAGTGTGGTGGCACACGCTTGTAGTCCCAGCTGCTAAGAAGGCTGAAGCAGGAGGAACAAAAGCTGGAGGCCAGGCTGGGCAACATAGCAAGACCCTGCCTCAAAAAATACAGTAAAACAGAATTTTTGTTAAATTTTTTTTTTTAAGACTAAAAAACAAAACTAGCTGCGGATATAGCTCAGCAGCACAAACACCTGCCTGGCAAGTGCAAGGTCCTGAGTTTGATTCCTGGTACAAAAAAAAAAAAAAGAAAAAGAAATGAGAATTCCTAAAAATCAAAAAAGGCTGGGTGTGGTGGCACACACCTATAATCCCAGCACTTGGGAGGCTGAGACAGGAGGCTCATCATGAGTTCCAGACCAGCCTGAGCTACAAAGTGAGCTCAAGGACAGCCTGAACTATATAGCGAGATCCTGTCTCAAAAAGACCAAAAAAAAAAAAAAAACCAAAAATAAATTTAACATGCAGAACCATTCAAACCAGGAATTCGGAATAATTCAAATTATAAAAATTTGCTCCTCTTTTGTAAGTTAGAGTCTGGTACATGGAAGTTTTGTCAATGTTTGTCGAATGAATTAATTTCAATCAAAGAATTAGGATCTTCACGAATGTGGAGTGATTGCCTAACTGCTTGATCTAATTTTCAAAAAGGCTCGTCTGGCATTTGCCTGGCAGCAGGCAGGGCTGTAACTGATCATTCTGTTCTCTTTGTATTATTTATAGGGATCTTTTGCACCATTTCCCTCTGCACGTATGCTGCCAGTATCTCTTATGATCTGAACCGGCTCCCGAAGCTAATTTATAGCCTGCCTGATGATGTGGAACACGGCTACAGCTGGTCTATCTTTTGCGCCTGGTGCAGTTTAGGTTTTATTGTGGCGGCTGGAGGTCTCTGCATCGCTTATCCGTTTATTAGCCGGACCAAGATTGCACATCTAAAGTCTGGCAGAGACTCCACGGTATGACTGTCTGCCCTCAAAGGCCAGGATGGTGCGGGCAACTCCTAAGGGGAGAGGAGCGGAGTTCCCATCAGGATTCCAAGCACAAAGCCGTCTCTTACATTCCAACCTGTTGCCTGCAGCCCTTTCTGGATGACTGATTGAAAATCATGCAAAACCTCCCAACCTTTCTAAGGACAAGACTACTGTGGATTCAAGTGCTTTAATGACTATGCTCTGACTGTGAGAAATAGCGGACAGTGTGCCATTGAACATTTCTAGGTGTGGAAGAAGAACTACGATGGAAAATAATTTGTATGCTTTCCATGTACTTCAGAAAGTTTGTATATAACAATGACCTGAGAGTCATTTCTATTTGCAAACGGATTCCTAACAAAGCGAGTATAATTTTCTTGTCACTGTTCCATGCTCGTTAGTTTAATGCAGCATCTTCAGAACTTGTCCTAATGGTGTCTCGTTGGGTCAGCCCCCGATATTTGTGCATTATTTGTGGATGTTCCTTGTCACAGGGGGATTCTTCTTCTGTTGCCTTATTATTACTTTTTAATTGAAATCTCTTCTCTGTCTTTGTACCTGGATGGAAATCATAAGGGAAACAGATCAACCGTGTAAGAGCTAATCCGTGACACTATGCAGTATTGTTTGAAGTCCTGTCTGTTATTCAGCCCCTGTCTCTTTATGTTAACTGGATTTCTGCATTAAATGACTGCCCCCTTGTTAACGTAGGTGTATTTTTTTCTGTATTCAGCTGTGTCTACCACTCTCCCTAGCCACAGGACTGATAGGAACTCTTGTTTTAATAAGACTCTTATTAAGCCTAATTGCCTCATTTTAATTAGGTTGGTCTTTATTAATCTTCTGTGGCAATCACATGCTTGCTATTGAGAAAAGATGTGATGCCAAGTTTCTTTTTAAACTCAACTAAATCTTCCCCCGATCCTTGGCCATCTACTTGGTATTTATATAGTGATATGGAGACATGGTCCCTGGCCTTGTTCTGACCCAGTGGATCTCAACTTTAGCTCTACATCAGAATCACTTAGTAAATTGTTTAGCTGTCGCCAGACAGGGGCCCAGGAAGACCAAGATCCACAGCTGGACCTAGGCTTGATTGTTTTTAACCATCCAAGATAATTCTGATGTGCAGCTGGGATTGAGAAACACTGTTTGGGGCCAGAATTATACTTACCTCCTTAGCTACTAAGTAAACTAGTTAACTTATTTAGCCTTTACTATGTGCCAGTAACTGGGTTATTCTTTTCTGGATGTTATTTCACTTAATTCTCTCAAAAGTTCAATGAGGCAGTTGCTGTTTTGTGGCAGCTGAGGAGCAGACTCCAAATATTTGGTTTTTTTTTCCCCTAAATCCCTTTCCTTTTTGTGGGCACAGGACAGAAGGTAAGACCCTTCCATAACACTGCATTTTCTGCTCTTTCAGTGGAGGGTTGGGCACTAGCTAACTCCTAAGCTTTTCTTTGGAACTCTAACATTACCCTCTCTTCCTGTGGGTATATATACTAAAAATGCTTGGTAAAATAGAGGATGATGCCATACCCTGAATAAGATACTGCTTCAGAATTGAATTTCACAAAAAAAGTACTATTCTTTCTTCTTTATAAAAAATTTATTTAGTACTCAGAAAAGGAAACTAATTACCCCCAGCGAGAATAAAGTCAGATTTCCAAGTGACCCTGTCCACATATGGTCACGGAAGCTGTTCCGAAGAGCCTAGCTGACCCTCAGGCCCTGTGTCTCCAGGCACGGCTGAGGCTTGTAAGGGTTCCTGACAGTCTCTCTGGCCTGTTTGATAAACCGGTCCCTCTGGATGAGATCAGAGATGTATGGGAAGGGGCAATTATTTCCATTTATTACTTATGTGGGAAATTCTCAAAGCAGGAGCACTCTTTCTTTGAAGTCGTTTTTTTCTTTTTTTTTTAGATCCCCATAGAAGATGTCAGGACTCCTGAACATTTATATTCTACCCACCAAAGTAACGTCTGACCGAGTCGCTTTTGAAGTTTCCGAGAGCCTTTCTCGAGGTTTGGGGTGAGAGTGGAAGAAAGCTTCGCGGTGGCAGAAGGTGGAAGGGTTCAAACACCAGAAGGATTTGCCCAGAAGCTAGGGGAGTTCACTCAGGATTCAGACGTGTGCTGGCATGAACTGGGGCTCCCTGCCTTCCAGCCTGCTGCAAGCTTAGAACACGGAGCCACGCGCCTGGCCACGGTGGCTCACTTTTTGTTTACCACGATGGAAGTGTGAGCGAAAGTTGCCAGTCTGATCCCCAGTCCTCAGGGTTCTCTGAGGGGTGTTTCTTTAATTGGTTGCACAGTACTGTGTGGGACGAATAATGTATTGAGCTCCTTTGCTTGTCCCCCTGTTCACTCTGTCCCACTTGCAGCTGCATGCGCATAACCAGACTATTTCTTTGCCTCAGGGGTTGCTGCTGGGCAGAAAGCAGAGTGGCTGAGGTTATTGAAGTAAGGCTGTGGTAGCAGGAAGGGCAGAGGAATGACTTCCCAGACTCGGAGTGCCCAGGGCAGCCCAGAGACCAGAGGCAGAAGACTGCGGGCTTCTGATGAGTTGTGCACTAATTAGATTAGAAGGCATCAGGGTATCCAGGGAGATGGGAGGCCCTTGGTACAGTAGCTCTCAGGTCCCCAAAGTAGACTCCGTGGGCTGGGAAGGACCCAGCCTTGGAATAGAACTTCTCAGTAGTAACCAGCCTAAGCCTTGGAAAGTCTGAGGACACTGGTATAACTGTTTTATGGGTCCCCAATAATAATTGAGTTCTGCAAGATAGAGCTCTGAATTTGGAGTGGACTTGCAGAATACCTGAGCTTATGGATTAAGAATTATGCTTAGCTGCCATGTACAGGCAATATTTGCCAAAAAAAAAAAAGGCTTTCCCCAAGACCTTGATGAGACAGCTACAGAGCCTGCGTGCCCCTCCGTGGGACAGCTGTGTCCTCATTTGTCCTTGGTTTATTTGCGGTGTTAGGACCAGTGCTGCCCACTCTGAGGGAACTCTGCCTTCTCTTTATGTGGACCACCATGGGCCCTGGAAAGTCCAGATTTCCCATAGACCGTATCATGCCCCTAAAATACAATATAGCTTTCAAAAATATTTACTGAATGTCTAATATGTACCAAGAACTATTTTCGGCACTTGGAAGACATCAAGGAAGCTGAACAAATGTTCTTGTCCTTGTGAAGCTTATGTTTGAGTAAACTGCAGGAAAGTACTATAAGAAGTCACCCTTTGTGGCCCTAAATGATTGCATAAATCCAGAGGTAAAGTGATTCAAATAGTTATTAAGATAAATTTCTCTTGTACATTCCCTCCGGCTTTGTGCGTTTCACCTCATAGCATTCTCATCGTTTGAATTTATCTTTGGCACAATAAAAAAAAAAATAGATTATTAACTTTTGGGAAGTGGGGCTGGGGGTACTTCAAAGATTTTGTATTGTAAACAGATCTGAGAATGACAAAAGTGGATTACACAGGCGAGCTAAGGAGGGTGCAGAAGAACCTTGGATCCCGGAGACTCAGGAGAACGAAAGCCCATGAGCTCAAGGAAAATGGCCCAATGGAAGAAGCTACACCTCTGGGACTCTCAGAGCACCTGGAAACTGCCTCTAGGTCTTTGCTCAGGATTTTCCCTTGCTGCGGACACCCGCACCTCTTCTTGGGTTTCTCCAACTTTGCTTTGTGTGCCAACTGCAAAAGAACCTTCCAGATGCCATTTTTGAGCAGGATGCACTGCACCAATCCCTTTCCTGATCAGTGACACCCCGCAGGATAATTACCGGTTCACCACTAGCCAGAGCATGGACCCTTACAAGGTGAAAACTGCCTTGTTCATGCTTTGGCTCCACTGGTTAGCCCAGAGCCTGGTACACAGCAAGTAATTTTAAATCTGGAATCAGTGAATGAATTCAGAGTCACAGATAAACTCTCCCCTTCCCTGGGTAGAACTGACTCCCGTAGCATCACAGGTGGGGAAACTATTAAAAATAGACAGTGGTAGGATGAAACTAAAGGGAAAGTGATAAAGCGTGCCAGGCGAGTTTGTCTCATTACAATAATTAAAGGACTATTAACCCAAAGTAACCCAAATGTAACTTGAAATATGTTATGTACTGTGGAAGATTTATTTGATGCCACAAACATTATGAAGTTACTAACCTCAGTATAATTCTGCACCTCATTTTAAACTTTCCCATTTGTGTGTGGGTGTTTTAAGCCTCTAATTGGAATTCTCAAAGGAATGCTTCAGAAATGACTTTTCTTTGAATGCAAATAGCTATACTGACCGGGTATTCTTTTAAATTGCATTTGAATTTCTCCAGGGCTCTGTCCTTTGACTGAAGGAGAGGAAGTTCGGGGTATAGAACAACCCAAAAAGCGTAAAGATGCTCAGGGACATAATTGCGAGCTAGGGATATGGCTATCAAATATCTTTCCTTTCAGTGTGCAATCCGTGTTTTGCAAACTTTCAAGAAAAAGCTTTGTAATTGCTCTAAGCCCTATCAGAATAGGTCTGCCTGAAGCCTCTCCAGGAAGAAAAGAAAATGGTGGGCTATAAAATGAGATTTTTTTTGTCTTTGTTTCCTATGTTCTCTCCCTTTCATCATTCACTGTAAAATAGTGTGTGCTATGTGTAAGGCCTTGTGGTCTCTCTCAGACCTCTGAGTAGATTTTTGTAGACAGGAACCAGAGGAAAACAAGGGTCTGGGGAGGATGTGGTTGCACTGGTACAGGTGAGACAGATAGGTACTGAGACAGGCAGAGCCTTGGTGGCTGCCTTGAGGAGGCTAAGACTTTGTCTGTGAATAGAAAGCAGCCAGAGGGTTTAAAGAAGGATAAGGGTGTGAGCCAATTTCCTCTTTAAGAATATCAGCATTGCCACTGTATAGAGAATGGATTTGCAGACGTCCAACACAGAGGTTGAACAGCCAGCCAGTTGGGAGGGAGGATGTCACAAGAATCCAGGAGACAGGATGGTGGCCTGGACCAAGGGAGTGGGGATGAAGACAGAGAGAAGTGGGTAGGTGTGTTTTAGGATTGCATTGACGAGCCCTGCTGGGTAACTGGATGAAGGTGGAACAGAAAGGAAGATTATCAAGGATGATGCCTAAGGAATGTTCAGAGTTAGATTGTTTACTAAAAAAAAAAAAAAAAAATAAATAAAAATAAAAAACTTTGGTTCTTGTATCAAAAAAGAATAAAATAATTAGGGAAAAAAGAGGATGAAGAAAAAAATGCCGACTTCTATGGTAAACTCTGTGTCTCATAGGATGGATTTATCCTGAACTGAGTGAAGCCTGGGGCTGAATATTATAGTTGAGAACGTGGTCCAGGGTTCCCAATGCCCCTGCTCTTCAAATTGATCCACTGTCAGGTGATTCCTCTTTGGTTTCTAGTTGTTCTCCAAAGGCCGTTCATACAGGTGGGAAATCAGTGATCGATTAGTGGTGACTGGGAAGATTTCAGTTCAGTTACATGAGGGAAAAAACCCCCAGTGAATTGTGGGTGAGTGACTGAATAGGAAAGGCGGATGTTTCGTGGTGGCTGCCCTCACGCTGAATTCACGCTGCTTCACTCAGTTCAGGATAAATACCAACTTATCAGTCAAATGGCTTAGTTTTTTGAAGCTTACTGAGACATTCTGAAAATGAGCCTCTACCATGCCTTAGGGTGGACATTTCTGATATTCATAA